GGATCATCGCCGACCGATAAAGACCCGGTTCTGCCTTCCGGAACAGCGAATTTTCGTTTTTCCTTTTAATCTTTACGACCGCGCGCAATTACTTTCCCCCGTCTATTTTTGAGGACTCGCGACTTTTAACGGAACTACATTTATGGCTCAATCGAGCCTGCCCGCGGTAAACATTTCGCCCGCAGCGTCTTGCACAATGAATTGCAAATTCGTGATATTGGCATGCTGTTGTCTCGTATCTTGTGAAACTCTGTTCCACGAATTTCGTTGTTCCTGTTGCTGAGGCACTTTGGAAGCGATCGGTGGACGATGGATGTTTGTAATAATTTCAGTAAGTTCGTTTCTGCAATATCGAGTTTGAGCTTTCTACGTTTTTTACAGATTTTATGTTTCATATTTTATATTATTTTCTCACTTAAACTTGTACCAAATTTTCTCCATTGTTCAGTTTTTGCTTCGAATGTACACGATTTCAAAGCTTCAAGGAAATTTGGTAATTGTAACTTATACAAATTTTTATTAGGTTCGTTTATAGAAATATTCGATCAGGCTCGTTTATGCGAATTTTGTTTGTACTCCGTTCTGGCACTTTGATGTTTAATTTTATAAAATTTTTACGTTACTTTTACTTTACTTTTATATCATTTTTACTTTAGAGGTTTAATTATTCGAGGTATAAATACAAACGTGATTTGAAATAAGTTTCTAATTTATGCTAGTAGCAGATTTCTGAGAGAAATTCTTCAGAAAGATGTGTCTGGTAATCGAATATTCATTTAACTTGGTCAGGTCGGTCATTTTATCTTGCAGAAATGTCTTTCAGGATGTCAGAATAAATCGGACACACAATCACAGTTAATAATTATATCACCATATAATTTCTATGTAGCATATCACAATTATCTCATACAGGTAATAATTATTCCAAATAATTATAACAGAAAGTGGCATGTTATTTAAAATAATATTTCAAGTAACGTTATATCGAAAGTGATCACAAGTGTGTAAATAATTATGAAATGATGTAACATGTTTGAAATAATATAATATTAATAATAATAATATGTAATAATATAATAATATATAATAATATATAATAATATATAATAATATATAATAATATATATAATAATATAATAATACATAATATTATAATAATATAACAATTTATAATAATATATAATAATATAATAATATTATATTATTATAATTTCATTATATTATTTTAATTATTAAT